CTTCAGTTTTGCACTTTCAGATTGTAGAGTGAGGTCCTTCCACTTGTAGAGTCTTCATTTAGAATATACATCATCCACTAAATTCACGTATATATTGGTTCATTGCCAATCACATTTCCTTTTCATCTTCTATCTTGAATCTATATTAAGGTGTTTTTATGTTTTATGTTTTTTATGTTTAAAGTTTAAAAAAAAACTTTATTTTTCTCAAGTATTTTTCTTCAAATGGTTTGCTTAAGTGATATAATCTTGGAGATCTTGATTAGCTGCATGTCTTTTTGCTATCCCTTTTAATTAATGGGTATCTCAACTGGATATGACTCATGAGTTCTTCTTTCCTTTCAAGTAGTCTAGATTAGCTTCCATTGTTTTTTACTTTCTGATGTTGGTGATAAAAGTGCAATGCAGTTGTTTTTTTTTCCCTTTATTGATAATTTTTCTTTCAGTCTGAATACTTACAAGGTTTTCTTTTTATTCATAAGATTAATGAATTTTATAAGGATGTGAGTAGATGTTTGTCTTTTCTTTTCAGCTCACCCTGAAATGTGGTTCCCCATTTCGTTTATCCATCAGAGGTGTTTTCTTTAACCCAAAGAAATTTTCTTTTATTTACTTAATTTTTGCTTCTCCTTCATACATTGTGTCCTTTCTCCTTTTGAACACCAATTTTTCACATTAGTTTTCAGGTTCTGTTCTTCAAGTGATTTTTCTTTGCACTTCATCTCTCTCGTAGTCTACTGATTTAGCTGTCAGTAATAATGATCTTTTTAAAAAATTTATCTACTCATTTTAGTTTGGAAATCATGGAAGGGAGTGTGTGTGTGTGTTGCATTAGAATTTATTTAGGTGCTATAAAATTTTTGTGCAGGTGTTTAGTTTTTCTAGCGCTTCTCTTTCACTAGATATATGTTCTGATGATTTACTTGTATTCTGCTTTTCCACATGATGGAGCCCCTCACATGATCAGTTATTTTTCTATGATTGTTATTGTTCTTGTTCAGTCGCCAAGTTGTGTCTGACTCTTTGCAACCCCATGGACTGCAGCCCACCAGGCTTCCCTGTCCCTCATCATCTCCCAAAGTTTGCCCAAGTTCATGTCCATTGAATTGGTGATACCTTCTTACAGTCTCTCATCCTCTGTTGCCCTCTTCTCTTTCTGTCTTCAGTCTTCACCAGGGTCTTTCCCAATGAGTCAGCTGTCCACATCAGGTGGCCAAAGTTTTGGAGCTTCAGCTTCAGTGATTTCTGTTTCTATGATAGCTCATTGGAAATCAAGTCTGGTTGCTGAACTATTGTAAATAGCAGGACTGCCAGAGGTTGGGACAGATATAGCGCCTAAATTTGAAGGACAGTCAGCCCCACTAGAAATACCTGAAGGAAGCTCAGTGCTCTTTGATGTACTTGAACTGTCCTGGTTTCCAAAGTTGGGAAGACCCACCTGTCTCATGTTAGGAGAATCCAGCATAAGCAGAGGGCTGGAAGATAATCTTACACCTGGGGTCTTCAGATACTTAAAAGCCAAGCCAAGGCAGTGATCCACAGCCATCAGTTGTGTTAGTTGTTGACCGAGGCTCTGATCCTGTTTTTCAGTCAGTTAACCATCCATGGGGTGATTTAGCTGCCTAACAGTTTGCTCTGATGTTACTTCACTAGAGTCATAAACTTTATCTAGCAGCCTGCAGGTCACAGTAGCTGCTTAACTTGAGAAAGTTAAGGAACTTGGAGTTGGGCAAAGAAAACAAGCCACAGTCAAGGTGTTATATTACAGACTATCCTTGATCCTTTCTCATTTCAATGCCTTTACATTCTAATGACTCTCAGATTTATTATATCAGTCCCTTCTATTCCCCTGACTCACATATCCTGTGCCCCACCCAACAGGTCAACTGGGGTATCTAATGAAACGTTACAGAAATGTTACAGATCCAAACTTTTTTTTTTTTTTTTAACCTTGCTGCAACTTGCAGGATCTTAGCTCCCCACAGGGAGCTTCCACAGGGATTGAACTGTGCCCCCTGCAGTGGAAGCATGGAGTCCTAACCACTGGACCACCAGGGAAGTCCCCCAAACAGAACTTTTGATTGTGATCTCCAAACCTGCTGTTCTCCTCACCCTTCCTCTCTCAGTGAATGCATTACCACCATTTTTTCACAGTTAATTGCTTAAGCCAGTATCTTAAGATTCATTTTTTTACTTCTTTCCCCTGTTTCATATCCATAATATCCCTATCCCAATTGTTCAGCATATCCTATTGACTGTGCTTTCGAAATGTGTCTAGACTGACCACTTTTCAGCACCTCTGTCTCTCTCATGCATCCATATATTGTTGTTCCTCTCCTGCTCCACTTCAGGTCCCTATCTGCTCTCTGTTTCTGCTCTTGTCCTCTACAGTTTATTCTCTAGAAGCCAGAGTAATCTTTTTAAAAAGTTAAGTGTTGCTTACTTCCAAAGGATTCTAAGGAAATCTAGACTTCATGCCATTGCTATGGCTGTCCATGGTCAGGACCTAAGGTGCTTCCAACCTTATTTTCTACCATTTGCCATGACTCAGTGCATTTTAATCACATTAGACTCCCTCCGCTTGCTTAACTACGTCGTAACCATCTTATCTCAGAGCTCTTGCATTTGCTCATTGCTTTGTTGAGAGTACTCTTCCTCCAGATTTTCTCATGATTCCCTTCCTCATTAAATTCGTGACAACTTATTCAGATCTGTTTGAATTGCTTTATCATAAAGATTATTCCTGACCACTCTATAAAATAGATACTCCCTTAATTCCCTATTCCACTTGCCTGTTTCAGTTTTTTTAATGGCACATATCACCACTTCGATCATTTATTTGTTCATTGTCAGAAGTTCTTCCAGTCACCCTTTATGAGGAAAAAACCTTTAAATGCTGTATCCCTAGGACTTGGGCTTCCCAGGTAGCTCAGTGGTAAAGAATCTGCCTGCCAATGCAAGAGCCGCAGGTTTGATCCTAGGTCTTGAAGATCCCCTGGAGGAGGAAATGGCAACCCATTCCAGTATTGTTGCTTGGGAAATCCCGTGGACAAGAGGAGGCCAGCGGGTTACAGTCCATGGGGTCACAAAGAGTTGAACACGATTGAGCACACAAATTTATGACAGTGCTAGTTACATAATGTTGCTCAGTCGCTAAGTTGTTTGTGACTCTTTGTAACCCCATGAACTGCAGCAGCCAGGCTTCTCTGTCCTCCCCCATCTCCCGGAGTTTGCTCAAACTCATGTCCATTGAGTCCGTGATACCATCCAACCATCTAATCCTCTGTCACTCCCTTCTCTTCCTACTGAATTACTTGACAGGCACTCAATAAATAATATATACTTCAAATGACATCTTTACCAAATTTGAATTGGATTTTAAAATGAAAAAGTAAGTATACATGTAAATCTTCCTGGAAATAAGTCATGTTTTTCAAAGTATTGCTTTTTCGTTTTCTACTTTTCCAGCCTGTTTGCAAAAAATGTAATAAACTTGTTACTCTTGCATATGTTTTAAATTTCAGTTAGAGTATTTGTATTTTATTTTCCCATAAAAACTTAATATGTAACCTGCCATCTTTTTTTCATTTTAAGAACAAAATTCCATTTTACCTGTAGGTTATTTCTTAATAATATATTTATTACCAAATTCTTCATTTGTGTTTTATGTTAAAAGAAAGCATGTAATATAGTATAATGTCAAGGCCATTGGGATTAAAGAAAAGAGAAAAATGCATATAGGGACTTTTTTCCTTTCTGATTTTTATAATATCCCAGTTTTTCTTTCTTTCTTTTTTTTATTTCCTGGATATCACCTTGGTTAAGAGATTGGTTTTTCTCCTTATGTTGTACTCACTGTCTCTAAAGGACCTCTTGTGATCTTGACCATATCTGCTATCCTTTGTTTTGTTCTTTGCTTTTTTCTTCTAATTACGACCATCCTCAATTTCCAGTGGATAGAATTTACTTCTGTAGGTTAATAAGAAAGAATAGGTAGGAGAAATTTTAGTGAAATGATCAGTTCAGTTCAGCTCAGTCGTGTCCGACTCTTTGCGACCCCATGAATCGCAGCACACTAGGCCTCCCTGTCCATCACCAACTCCCGGAGTTTACTCTAACTCATGCCCATCGAGTCGGTGATGCCATCCAGCCATCTCATCCTCGGTCGTCCCCTTCACCTCCTGCCCCCAATCCCTCCTAGCATCAGGGTCTTTTCCAATGAGTCAACTCTTCACATCAGGTGGCCAAAGTATTGGTGTTTCAGCTTCAGTATCAGTCCTTCCAATGAACACCCAGGACTGATCTCCTTTAGGATGGACTGGTTGGATCTCCTTGCAGTCCAAGGGACTCTCAAGAGTCTTCTCCAACACCACAGTTCAAAAGCATCAGTTTTTCAGCACTCAGCTTTCTTCACAGTCCAACTCTCACATCCATACATGACCACTGGAAAAACCATAGTCTTGACCAGACGGACCTTTGTTGGCAAAGTAATGTCTCTGCTTTTTAATATACCATCTAGGTTGGTAATAGTAGAAAACAAAATTCAGCTTGAAAGTGGCCTAGCATGTATAATATTAGCATATATTAATATAATTTTATGTATAACATGCTAATGCACTTTAATACAGCGTTCTAATCTCTAGGGGAGACCAGTAAACCTTACGAGTAAGGAGGGAAGTCATTGGTACAATCACTTGCCGTTTTGCTCACGTTTTCGAAGGGTCATTGTACCTATCGCCATGGGTGGGCGTTGGGAAACAGCATATCTAAAACTAACAGTCCCACATAGCCATATGCCGTTGGCAGCTGGAGAGTCTTGTAAGTCAGGAAAGGCCCTTATTCTTATGCACACTTACAAACACCTCTGTCTGGCTTAGTGCTATAATGTGGAAACTGTTTTGTGGCAAGCTGCTTAACACAACAACACTTAATCAAAACTTTTTAAATGGTTGACTTTGGTAATTAAGACATTAATTTGGTTTTATTTTTATTTTTTCCAGGTGTATGGTGGCTGATGAAGTAAGTGTTTTCATGATTTTTATGTTGTTTATAAAATTCCCCAGCCAGTTTTTATTGTCTGCTATTTACCCTGTACTCTCTCATATGACTGTACATCTGTATATGGAGAGGAGATGGGGAGGGCGAGGAGGAGGGTGGCAGGGCAGCAGCAGAGAGAATAAGAATGAGAAAGAGAATGTGTATGTGTGTTTGTGTGTGCATGCACGCAGGGCGTGCATTTGGAACTTGTTAGTATTAAAATTAGTGATCCAAAAATTCTATATTTGTGGCCTCAGAAGAATGAATGCAACCCCAAATGAAGCTCAACTCTTCTTTATTTGTCAAAATGCTGCTTGCTTAGAACCTGGACTTTTAAGATTTTGCTTTAAAGGTTATTTTTAATTGTTTTATATGAATGTGAAGTGTACTATTCAAATGGTGTTTTATTGTCACTAATCTATTTGATACCTTTGAGTGGCATGTACTTGTATATACTCATATTCAGATTTTCCACTGAAAGGGAAGCTCTTGCTACATAAGCTGCAGTACTCTGCATACATTCTGAGTAAATTTAAGTCAATAAAGTTCTGATTTTTTATATCATTTTGAAAAATGTGTTACTGTTTTCATGATATCTTTAATGATAGCAAAACATATACATTTAAAAATATATCAGAGCTGAAGAAAATGGATATTGAATTTTTAAAAAAGATATAAGTGAAACCATAAAAAATTCTCCCAATTAGCTATTTTTTAATTTAATTTACATGTAGACTCACCAATGGCCTGCCTCTAGGAAAAAAGTAAATAAGAGTATAACATGCAAATGAGTGCCAAGCAGAAGGTTGATATATGGCTTCTTGGTTCATGCTGATTTATAATTACTGAAGTTTTTAGTTTGAACTCTATAGGCATTTATTTAGACTAAATGTTACAGTTAGAAACACAGTCATTGCCTGTGAAAAAGTTCAGCAGTGTAACTAAAGAGACAGGACATGGACATTTAGAAAAAAAGTAGAAATTTCTATTTTGCAACAAGATGAATTCTGAAAGAATCTACATAAATTTATAGATTTGAGAGTCCAAAATTATTAAAAGAGGCTTATGTTTTTAGTCCCTGAATATGTTTTCACCAAATAGGAGTATAAATTCATACTTCAAAACCTTAAAACTAGACATAACCATTTTATAAAATGTATAAATGTGTACTACATGTATTGATGTATGTATAAATTGTTTTTTAAATAGACCAGTTTTATGTTCACAGTCAATATAACATGTTGTATTATTTGGTAATCTCCTCAAGTGATTCATGGGGAACATTTTATTGGCTATGACATGTTATTGCTACCTTGTTCCTCAATTTGGTGTTATAGTGGTTTGAATATGCCTTAAATGTGCAGAATCATTCATGGATTGAAATAAACATTTGATTAGCACCTTAACTCTGCTTAGCATTTATATTTCCCTGTTTTCTCAGTTAACATTAGACTAAGGCTGGTGCATGATGAGTTCATCATGAACACTTTAGCCAACAAGAGTTTTTCATTATACTCTTCACTTTTCATGTCCTATTATTTACAATTAAACTTGTCACATGTCGAAGGATTTGTGGTAATCTTTCAAAACTATTATTTTTAAATTTAATAAATTTAAAAGAACCTTGTAATATTTTCCCAGTACTTAAAAGAAGATTCTCCCTTTTGTGTCCCTCATATCTCCTCCCTTTTCACCAGCACTTTAAAGACTCTTATTTTTTACAATTATTTGACTTTCCAAAGTTCATTATGTTGAATCCCCTACCAATAAGGTTAATTAAGGAAAAGTCCTCAATTTAACATATAAATACAAAAAATAGTCACAGAAATAGCATAGTGTAAATTCTAAGATCACAGCTCAAAATATAATAACATCCTCTGTATTTTGATTGAGTTGAAATGCCATTTCTGTGGAATCTTATTGAGCTAATATGGATGAAAGTGAGTAAATTGAAAGTCTTGAAATAGAAAGAACTTGTATATATGTAAATTATATGAACTCTGGTTTGACCTTCATTATATTTTCTAATACTGTTCTCCTTCTCTTGCTCTTATCACAAAACAGTAGTGAAGTCAGAGAAGGAAATGCAGTCTATAATTTGGAGATCAACTACATTTTGATTTTAAAATTAAAAAATATATTTTGATATGAATATTCAACTTATAAATAGAGCTTTAGGAGAACAATTTTGCATCTCTATTATTGATCTCTTTTTTTTTTTTAATGCGTGACTACCTACTTGGAGTATTGTATAGTTTAACTGCTGTGATCTTTCCTCCCCAGCTTTAGAAGCAAATGACTTCCTTCACTGGTGTAACTGCGTCCTCTTCTAGTATCTTTCCACTAATATCTTTTCTAATGTATAAAATCTTTGTGCAATTATATAATCTATCTATTGCGTTGTGCAATTATGTAATCTATCTATTGCGTATAAGATAGTCATTAAGTTAAAATTGGAATGGTGACTTACTTCTGTTTGTCTGTGTGATCTTTGAGTATATATTATGAAACTATGTTTCAGATAACCAACCAGCTTTATTAAAAGCTGCAACTTTTAATAAAATTAACTTTGCAGACTTACCTTAAGCCCTTTTAATTCCTGTTTCCCCTTCTCGGTTTCGTGTAGTTAAGTGTTGTTTCAGAAGCTATACGGTAGACATATAGAAACTCTTTTGAAATAGTATTCCTTTAATAATGGAATTTCGGGCACAGTCTGGAGTCAGGCTCTTGCACTATTACCTTTAGTGTTTTTTAATAGTTTTTTAACCACTGTGTCTTTGTTCTGTTGAAGATTTTTATTCACAGAAAGATTTTAAATGTGAAAAATAATTTCCCATTAACATATACCAGGTAATTCAAGTGGATACACATGAGGAAAATATTAAACCTACACATTTAGTACCTTATTTTCAAGGATTTAAAGGCAATTATTCTTTGTAGAAGCTTAGTGTTTACCAAATTTTTGTGATGTTCATTTTTACTTAAGAAAATGAGATTGACATCCTGGGTTTAGGTGAATAGCTTAATAATTGTTCAGCTATGAACAAAATGTCAGTACATGGATCTGTCTTCTCTGTGTATTGAATCTATTATCAGAGTTAGAAAATTCCTACTTTCCTTGTTTGTAATAGTTTTGTTAGTACTATACTTTAGTCCTCTCCCCCTACATTTTTCCCTGTTTCCTTCCTGTTACTTGAGAAAATATTTGGAAGGCAGGAATGGTATACCAAATAAAGTATTGCTTTCCTTCCTTTTTCAGAAGAAAAGGAAACCTTTTGTCAAGGCTAAGCCGCTTGGCTTGGCTTACTTTGTGACTGTTTTGGGATTAATAGATAAATATTTGGAACAGAGACCAGAGAGTTATCATTATGGATGCTCTTTTTTTTTGTTGTTGTTGTTGTTGTTCAAGGTGCTTCTCTGGAAGAGAAGTTTGGAGGGGAAAGGCTGTGGAAGCTGTTGAATGCTTGCAGAAGTTTTTCTGGAGGCTGAAGTTTGAAAAGCCTTGTGATTTTCTCTGCAGGCAGAAATCTGTAGGTGTCTCAAAACACCAAAGAACCCTCTTTAGAAGATTATTTCTGAGCAGAATACCTTAAAATTGATACTGTGATATAGACTCTGCCAACATTTTAGGTTTGAGGACTAAGAAATTAAACCAGATGTGAAGAAATTTATTTTTCCTTTTATATAAGCCGACCTTGGTTTGACAAAGTGAGCTAAGAGGATAGTTTTTATTCCATTTGCTTCTACAAATCCTTCTTTCTCTTTATCAGACCCTGGTGGAATTGAATGCCCTCTGAGATTTTACTGTTTCTGATAAACAGAAACATAACCTCTTTGGAGTGGTGGTCCATTTTTGTTGAGTGAATAGACCAATTAAAAACCTTATACTTAATTAACACATATGGGCCAAGTTCTATTCTACTGATTTACATGTATTCATTTATTTCATCTCTGGACAATCCAATAAAATGTTGTGATTATTATTACCACCATCATTTTTTAGATGAGAAAGCTGAAGCACAGATATGTTAGTAAATGGAGCTGGGACATGCTAGAAGCTGATATCTAATCTGAAATAATCCATCTCCCAAGTCCATTATTGCTGTTCTATACAAAGCCTGCAGGCACCAGACTTTCTGTGTTTTGAATGGATTCTTAAATATAGAAGACTCTGTAAGACACAGTGCTCAAATGGATGAAGCTGAATGATAAGTGATAGCATTTGTGCTGTTGAGACTGTTCTCTAAAACGGTATCATTTGCCTGCTTATTCCTCATTTCTAAGGCCAGCTTTACTATTTTTTGAATGTCTTTTCTTAAAAATAATTTTTAAATTTTAGAATAGTCTTTTTATTTATTTATTTATTTATTTTTTGGTTGCACTGGGTCTTCATTGCTGCTTGCAGCCTTTCTCTAGTTGTGGAGAGCAGGGGCTACTCTTTGTAGCAGTGCATGGGCTTCTCATTGTGGGAGTTTCTCTTGTTGTGAAGCATAGTCACTAGGCATTGGCTTCAGTAACTGCAGCAGGTCGACTGTGTATTTGTGGGGTGCAGGCTCCGGGGCACAGGGGCTTTAGTAGTTGTGGCTCATAGATTCTAGAGCATGGGCTCAGTAGTTGTGGTACACGGGCTTTAGTTGCTCTGCGGCATGTGGAATCTTCCCGGACCGGGATCAAACCCGTGACCCCTCCAGTGGCAGGTGGATTGTTATCCACTGTCCCACCAGGGAAGTTCAATAACACTTTTAGTTTTATAGAGTTATTGTGAAGATAGTACAGAGAGTTCTCTTACGCCCCAAAGCCAGTCCTGCATTATTAGTTACTTTACTTTACTAGTAGTAATGTGTCTCGAGTAATGAACCAATATTCATATATTAGTACTGTTAACTTAAAACCATACTTTATTTAGACATCCTCAGGTCTTTACTGATGTCCTTCTCCTTTTGCAGGAGTCCATCCGTGTTTTATAACATGTAATTCCTTTA